TCTTTTTCTTTTTTTTTTAGTACCAAAGCATTGCTTCAGAACAAGCTTTTGTAGTTCTTTTTCAAACAAGTTTCTTGTTTTATCAGATTCGGGGTTTAGATGTTGAAATGTTAACCTTCAATTAAATGTAAACTTCCAATGTTATATTTAATATTTACACTCGTTTGTACTTTAGGAGGGTGTTTTTATGGTGTGTCTGTTTCCTTGGACATGCATAGAGAGAGATCCCAAACACCACGCACCTAGCAAAGGCGTTAGTAACCAGGTGAATGCAGCCTTAGCCAGCTTCACCCAAAGCCACGACTCCAAGGCATTTCACCCCTGCCGATAGGGCATAATTGTGATTAACCAGTTCCCTATTGTTAGATGTTGGGCAGGAGGGACACTTGTTATTCAAGGTGGATGTCATATGATCTCCTCCCTGGAAGGTGTCCCATGTGCAGGGGCGTCCCTCAGGATTGAGCATAATGGATCAGAGTCCAATTCATTCTGCTCCCCAATCCACAGATCCAATCCATTCTGCTCCCCAATCCACAGATCCAATCCATTCTGCTCCCCAATCCACAGATCCAATCCATTCTGCTCCCCAACCTACAGATCCAATCCATTCTGCTCCCCAATCCACAGATCCAATCCATTCTGCTCCCAATCCACAGATCCAATCTATCCTGCGGGGATCGTCGGCATGCAACCTATACGGGATGACACCAGACCCGCTCCACGAAAAGGTAAGTTGTAAAGCAAGCTGACGATCCCTGCAGGATGAATCGGATCTATGGATTGAGCATAATGGATTGGAGTCTGATCCATTATGCTCCCCAATCCGCAGATACGAACCGTCCTGCGGGGATCATCGGCATGCAACCTATACGGGGTGACACCGGACCCGCTCCATGGAAAGGTAAGTTGTAAAGAAAGCCGACGATCCCCGCAGGATGGATCGGATCCATCCTGCGGGGATCGGATCCATCCTGCGGGGATCATCGGCTTGCTTTACAACTTACCTTTTCGTGGAGCGGGTCCGGTGTCACCCCGTGCGGTAGGTGTCACCCGCTGCGGTGCACACCTCCCGCACCTGCCTCGGGACGCCACTGCTTACGTGTACCCCATGGCTCTATCTGTTACCTGCTGTGTCCACCAGACACAGCGAATGACCAATCAGTGTACCGCCTGCTGCCAACAGATCACAGCAGTTCACATGACAATTGTACACAATGGATGGCGTTCATTCATGCCATCCATTGTGTAGCTCTCTGTGATTGGTCACTGTGATCACATGGTACAAACAGGCTAATCACAGCCCATCTGTACCATGTGATCAGCTGTGGCTGATCACCGCAAACAATAAATAATACTGAATGAATCAATTTAGTTAGGTAAAAATTGTTGCTTATACCAGTGAAATTCACTGGAATAAGCAATCATAGTGTTTAAAAGAAAAAAAATCCTGATCACTTCCCCCCTGCCCAAAGCACCCCCCCCACCCATGTTGAGGGCATGTGGCCTGGGGAGGGGCGCTCGCTCCAACCCCCCTTTCCTGAGCTGCATGCTCGGATAAGAGTCTGGTATGAATTTTTGGGTGACCCCCATGTCATATTTTTTTAAAATTTTGGCGTGGGGGCTTGGTATGGATGGGAGGACCCCACGCCATTTTTGTGTTAATTTTTTTAATTGCCGGCAATTATTTTTACATTCAGCTGTCAGTGGGGAACCGCAATTAAAGAATGTTTCACTACTAAAATACCGCACAACTTGATAATATAACTCCTGTGGTGCTTTAGTAGGCTTTTTGAAAAAAATGCTGTGCGGTATCTTACCGCATTGTCTAGGTTCGAAATTTGCGGTCGGACTTTCGTTAGGTTCAAATGTTCGACCGTGAACCGAACAGGGGGTTGTTCGGCCCATCACTAGGCATGATATAAATATAGTTGCATTATTCTAAGCTGGATCAATGTATCAATGTGGGCAGCACAGTGGCTAAATGGTTAGCACTTCCACCTGGCAGCACTAGGGTTGTTGGTTCAAATCCCAACCATAGCACCACCTGCCTGGAGTTTGCATGTTCTCCCTGTGCCTGTGTAGGTTTCCTCCCGCACTCCAAAGACATGCTGCTAGGTTAATTTTCTCCTGTCTAAATTGGCCCTGATATGTGTATGTATGAATGTGAGTTAGGGACCTTAGATTGTACACCCCTTGAGGGTTAGGGTCTTCAGATTGTACACCCCTTGAGGGTTAGGGACCTTAGATTGTACGCCCCTTGAGGGTTAGGGACCTCAGATTGTACACCCCTTGAGGGTTAGGGACCTTAGATTGTACGCCCCTTGAGGGTTAGGGACCTCAGATTGTACACCCCTTGAGTATTAGGGACTTTAGATTGTACGCCCCTTGAGGGTTAGGGACTTTACATTGTACCAGGGGCGGACTGACCATTTGGAAACTCGGGCACTGACCGAGGGCCCGGGGTCAGTAGGGGGCCCCATGAGATGCCCCTGGTACCTTTTTCATAGGCTTTTTTGAGTTTGGGCAAGGACACAGGGGCCCCATGATCCCCTATTGCCCAGGGGCTCCATGAGTTGTCAGTCCGCCCCTGGATTGTACACCCCTTGAGGGTTAGGGACCTTAGATTGTACGCCCCTTGAAGGTTAGGGACCTTAGATTGTACACCCCTTGAGGGTTAGGGACCTTAGATTGTACACCCCTTGAGGGTTAGGGACCTTAGATTGTACACCCCTTGAGGGTTAGGGACTTTACATTGTACCAGGGGCGGACTGACCATTTGGAAACTCAGGCACTGACCGAGAGCCAGAGGTCAGTAGGGGGCCCCATGAGATGCCCCTGGTACCTTTTTCATAGGCTTTTTTGAGTTTGGGCAAGGACACAGTCCTATGATCCCCTATTGCCCGGGGGCCCAATGAGTCAGTCCGCCCCTGGATTGTACACCCCTTGAGGGTTAGGGACTTAAGATTGTACGCCCCTTGAGGGTTAGGGACCTTAGATTGTACTCCACTTGAGGGTTAGAGACTTTAGATTGTACTCCACTTGAGGGTTAGAGACCTTAGATTGTACGCCCCTTGAGGGTTAGAGACCTTAGATTGTACGCCCCTTGAGGGTTAGGGACCTTAGATTGTACGCCCCTTGAGGGTTAGGGACCTTAGATCGTACGCCCCTTGAGGGTTAGGGACCTTAGATCGTACGCCCCTTGAGGGTTAGGGACCTTAGATCGTACGCCCCTTGGGGGTTAGGGACCTTAGATCGTACACCCCTTGAGGGTTAGGGACCTTAGATCGTACGCCCCTTGAGGGTTAGGGACCTTAGATCGTACGCCCCTTGAGGGTTAGGGACCTTAGATTGTACGCCCCTTGAGGGTTAGGGACCTTAGATTGTACACCCCCTTGAGGGTTAGGGACCTTAGATTGTATGCCCCTTGAGGGTTAGGGACCTTAGATTGTACGCCCCTTGAGGGTTAGGGACCTTAGATTGTACATCCCTTGAGGGTTAGGGACCTTAGATTGTACGCCCCTTGAGGGTTAGGGACCTTAGATTGTACACCCCTTGATTGTTAGGGACCTTAGATTGTACGCCCCTTGAGAGTTAGGGACCTTAGATCGTACGCCCCTTGAGGGTTAGGGACCTTAGATTGTACACCCCTTGGGGGTTAGGGACCTTAGATTGTACGCCCCTTGAGGGTTAGGGACCTTAGATTGTACGCCCCTTGAGGGTTAGGGACCTTAGATTGTACGCCCCTTGAGGGTTAGGGACTGATGTGAATGTACAATATATATGTAAAGCGCTGCGTACATTGATGGCGCTATATAAGTACCTGAAATAAATAAATGTAAAAATGTCCATACCTAGAATTCTTCCCTCCTACGTTAGAGAAACTCCAGTTTTACTGAGTTTAAAAAGCTCCCGGTCCATTATTTTAATTGCAAGGTTTTTAGTAAATTGATCCTTACCTGCTTCTGACCTGCAGATACCGACACAAGCCACAGCAATGCAGCTGCTCTTGGAAATCCATCCAAAAGTAGAAAAACCGTCAGGTGGGAGGAGCTGGGTGAAGAAATCTCACCAAACAATAAAACAATCTATAGGAAGCCATATGGCCATTTAAATTGCCTGTATCCCTTCAAAACTGATCAACCAGTCTTACATCAGCTAATCCTTAAAGGCAATTAGCTGGGAGGTGCAGAAGACTCCAGTCTATGTGACGCCTCGCAGAAATCTCTTCTCAGAGCTCTTACATTTTATACAGGCAATTCCAACAGCTCAGGCGTGCGGGGAATTGTACTCCTCGGCACTGTATAGCCTGCAGATCAATGTGAAACGTATAAACATTCCGGTTTCATCTGCCAGATGGTGTATTACCCGATTGTATGTGCGCGGCGTAGAGACGGCGCATAATTGTCCGGGAATTAAAACAATAGATTTTAGCGCAGCTGTTTCTCCGGGACCCTGGCGGAGAGTGATAGACGGGAGAGAAACATGATGGATGATTCGAAGGGATGAGTCGGATCAATGCCATTATTTCGCCCGCACGGCCGAACGCGATAAAGGGGCGGGCCGTTCCAGAAGTTTCACAAATAATTTTGCGGCGGCTCGCCTTTGCGAAACGCTGACAGCGGAGCGCACGAAACCTGCATCGCATTAATTATTTAGGATATCGCTTTTTAATTAGTAATGTGGGTAAACTTCATCCGAGCGCCAATGTTTTGGGATAAACAAACGCCCCGCTCTTAGGAGCATGTTTATCATGTGGGAAATCATCCTTCGGATGATTAATCATCATGTTTTCGCAGCCAGGCACTGATTGGAAGAGAAAGATTTAGGGGCCCACTTACTCTTTCTCGGTGCAAGTAAGACCGGCCACACATGGGTCGATTTTCAAACGATTTTTTGTTCGAAAATCGGACCTAAGAATAATCAGCCAATTTTCGCTCTGTTAGTGGGGCAATGGCACCTGCCGATTTTTGTGGTTCCACCCAGGGGCGGACTGACAACTCATGGGGCCCCCGGGCAATTGGGGATCATGGGGCCCCTGTGTCCTTGCCCACACTCAAAACACACCCAAAAAAGCCTATAAAAGGTACCAGGGGCATTTTATGGGGCCCTCCTACTGACCCCGGGCCCTCGGGCAGTGCCCGAGTAGCCGAGTGGTCAGTCCGCCCCTGGTTCGTTTTTCGAGCATGCTGGAAAATTCAAGAAAAACGATTTTCGACCGATTTTTTGTTCGAAAATCGAACCCGGGGGCGGACTGACCGTTTAGGAACTCGGGCACTGCCCAAGGGCCCGGGTCAGTAGGGGGCCCCATGAGATGCCCCTGGTACCTTTCATAGGCCTTTTGGGTGTGGTTTGAGGACCAGGAGCGGACTGACAACTCATGGGGCCCCCGGGCAATAGGGGAGCATGGGGCCCCTGTGTACTTGCCCAAACTCAAAAAAGCCTATGAAAAAGGTACCAGGGGGCATCTCATGGGGCCTCATACTGACCCCGGGCCCTCGGGCAGTGCCCGAGTTTCCAAATGGTCAGTCCACCCCTGGTGAGGACACAGGGCCCCATGATCCCCTATTGCCTGGGGGCCCCATGAGTTGTCAGTCCGCCCCTGATCGGACCTAAGAATAATCGGACGATTTTCGCTCTGTTAGTGGAGCAATGGCACCGACCCATTTTTTTGTGGTTCCTCCCCATTTCGTTTATCGGGCATGCTGGCAAATTCATGAAAAACGTCCCATGTTCATTGGTGGCACCATCGGATTACAGAACAAATGATGTTTTCGATTTTCGATCGAAACATTGTTCAGGATTCGAACCATGCATGGCCTGCTTAACACGTGCTGCCAAATTGCAGGGCCATGCATTCCGAATGATATCCCAGCGCACAACGGTAGAAAAAAAAGGGTGATGTCATGTTCAGTTCTAAGCATGTTGGGGTAAACCAGCAGCACCGAATGCATGCTAACACTCTGCACAAATGTAAATGGGCCCTAAAAGCATGTGTGGATGGACTTTCTGCTTGTGTCAATTGCATTCATTTGACATGATTCTGAGAAGATTGAGTACATTTGACCTGCAGTTGACCTCCCTCTAACCTGCATTTAACCTCCTAACCTGCGGTTGATTTGGTTTCTCACCGGCAGTTGACCTTCTGACCTGCTGCTGACCATCTTCTGACTTGAAGCTGAACGCCTTCTAACCTGTATTTGACCTCTTGTCTTGCAATTGGTCTGTTTCTGTCCTGAAGTTGACCTTCTTACCTGCAGGTGACCTCCTTCTGACCTGCCGTTGTGCTCCTTCTGACTTGCAGTTGACCTCCTTTTAACTTGCATTGAATATCCTGACCTCCACTTGATCTGCTTCTAACCTGCAGTTGACCTCCTGACCTGCAGTTCACCTCCTTCTAACCTACATTGAAGCTCCTGATCTGAAGTTAATCTGCTTATAAGCAGCAGCTAACTTCCTTCTAACCTGTAGTTGACCTCCTGACCTGCTGTCTACCTCCTTCTGATTTGCAGTTGGCCTCCTACTAACTTGTATTTGACCTTCTGACCTGGGGGTTAATCCGTTCTTGACCTGCAGTTACCGCCTTCTGACTTTCAGTTGACCACCTTCTAACCTACATTGAACCTCCTAACCTGCAGTTGACCTCCTGATCTGCCATCTATCTCCTTCTGAATTGCAGTTGGCCTCCTACTAACCTGTATTTAACCTTCTAACCTGGGGCTGATTTGTTTCTGACCTGCAGTTGACTTCCTTCTTTCAGTTGACCTGCACTGAATCTCCTGGCCTGCAATTGATCTGCTTCAAACCTGCAGTTGACCCCCTCCTAACCTGCAGTTGACCTCCTTATGGCTTGTTAATTGTCCTGCTGACCTATCGTTGATCTGCTTCTGACCAGCAGTTGACCTCCTGAGCTTAAGTAGACCTCCTTCTGGCCTACATTTGATCTGCTTCAAGCAGGTTTTGCATTCCAATAGTATTGCATGGAAAAGCATTACTCATTTAAAGCAAAGAAAGCCCTTCAACACAGATCCTGAACTATGCATTCTCATGACTGAGGCATTGTCTTTGATGCTCATCCAACATCTAAATCTTCCACCCTTTAAATCCAGGCTAAAGGGATTTATTTAGTTTTTAATCATGTTACTAATAGTCACATTTGCAGACATTTGCTGGTTTTAAACCACAGCTTAATAAAGAATCACCCATAAAGAAAGAGACTTCTACTTCCTTGTAAAGCCAAGATACAGTATATGGCCAAAGTCCGTGGACACCTGACCATCACACCTATATGAGCTTGTTGGACAAGCTATTACAAAACCAGAAGCATCACATCGAGAGCGTTGCAGACAACTGTGTGCTTTCAATAATAAATAAAGTGCTATTAATCAAATAAATGTCAAATAAATAAATTAATAAATAAACTCTTAAGTAATACTGTCCAAAATGTATACATGTATAATGTCCAAAAACATGAGTATTCCAAAAACAGTCCACGGGATGATGTTCCAGCAAGATGATAGTTCCAATAATTCTTGGAGATTGAACCTCAAGAGAAAGAGAACTAATGTAGTGTAATACCATAAATACATGGAATCAAACGAACATCACTGCGAACGCATGTGAATCACACTGAACCACACACATGTGAATCACATAAATACCACACGTGATCTATAGGTGAATATAAGTGTGAACAACATGCGTAAAAAAATTAAGGGTAACACTTGCATGCAGTGCCAAATCGTGAGAGTGTCCACATCTAATGGATAATATACTATTACCAGAGATGTAGAAAATGCCAGATTATAGATCTCAGTCAAGAGACCACTTTGTAAATCCAGACAATAGGACACAGATCCTCCATCCATACATCAGCATGCGTTTGCAGTGATGTTCGTTTGATTCCATGTATTTATGGTATTACACTATATTAGTTCTCTTTCTCTTGAGGTTCAATCTCCAAGAATTATTGGGACTATCATCTTGCTGGAACATCATCCTGTGGACTGTTTGTGGAATACTCACGTTTTTGGACATTATACATATATACATTTTGGACAGTATTATTTAAGAGTTTATTTATTCATTTATTTATTTGACATTTATTTGATTAATAGCACTTTATTTATTATTGATTTATACACTTTTTGGGGTAAAAGTATTTCTGTACAATTGAGGTATTATATATAGGAGGAACACCGTTATTCTGGTAACTGTGTGCTTTCAACCTTGTGGTAATAGTTCGGTGAAGGCCCTTTTCTGTTCAAGCATGACTGTGCCCCTTTGTACAAAGCCAGATACATAAAGACATCGTTTGACCAGTTTGATGTGGAGGAACTCGAATGGTCTACATAGAGCCCTGACTTTAACCTCACTGGACACTTTTGGAATGCTGATTGTTGGAAGGGTCTTCTCATTCGACATAATACTTGATATTACAAAAGGGGCACAAATTCCCACAGACTCTTCAAAATCTTGTGGAATGCCTTCTAAGGAGAGTAGAAGCTGTTATATTCACAAAGAGAAAATGGAGGGGATTCCATATTAATGTCTATGATTTTGGAATGGAATGTCCAACCAGCTCATATAGATGTGATGGTCACATGTCTACAACATGTTATTTAAGAAAGGTCGGCAACCGGGTGTTCAAAGCTCTAAAATCTTCTTTATTATATGTCCATTAGGAGTAGAAAAGATCCAACAAAAAGAGACTGATGCATAGCTGGGCTGTGGCTAAAGCCCATAAAGGTTGAAATACCCCGAAATGACCAACCTTTCTCAAATTGAAGGCCCGATTGAACAGCTTGTGTGGCTGTGGTCTTGGCACTGGTGGGAAGTCCCTACAGCTATTTTGAGTTTAAGGGTAGAAGCACCTACAGTCTATATTATAGACTGTATAGTATTTCTATTTGGGCAGCAAATGTGGAAAACAGTAATGGATCTTTAATAACAACCATTTTGGTTCCAAGATGCCAATCCTGTGATGGTTATCCATCTGTGTGCAAGCCAAAAAAAACCCATTCCTAATTCTCAGGTCCAGTTGACATACCAATCCTCACAACCAGGGGCGGACTGACAACTCATGGGGCCCCCGGGCAATAGGGGATCATGAGGCCCCTGTGTCCTTGCCCAATCTTAAAAAAGCCTATGAAAAAGGTACCAGGGGCATCTCATGGGGCCCCCTACTGAACCCGGGCCCTCAAGCAGTGCCCAAGTTTCCAAATGGTCAGTACGCCCATACTCACAACCTTATTTTTTCTAAACTTTCATAAATAACAAGACATTTGACAAGCACACCAGACCTTTTTTGTCTCTTAAAGTGACCCTGTCATTAATTACATTGAAGCTAAACTCCAGACATTATTCGAATTGCACAGTTACATTGGTCCAGCTTGGCACAATGTAAAAATGTGCATTTCTCATTCCTGATGGACTGCTGACTATCACTGTAGTTGTCGATGCTACAACAGTTATAGCTCCAGTCTTCTAGGTTATGCTGGGTTTCTGTGCACACTGACCACAGAGGGTCACACTCTTGGCACTTCCACTGACTGGACCAGGTGAAACATAAGAGGTGGTGATGTCACAATCTCCACTTTGTCCAATAAAAGATCATCTTGTATTCATTGAAAACAATACAAGGTTTTTTTTGCCAGGTGAGGAACCCTTGTGGGTCACCAGAGGTGAATCCCAACAGAACTCAGAAGACTGGGCTATCACCGGTAGTAGCGTTGACTTCCACAGAGATTTCCAGCTTCTCTAGGAGCCCCTCAACTGTATGCATACATCATACCAAACTGAATCAATGTAAATATGCAGTGCACATAATTCCTGGAGTCGAGCTTTGAGTCCCTGTCTTTGTGAGCAAGCTAGCAGTGGTGGAAAACCTCAAGGAAGGTTGTTTTCTGGTGGAGACATTATTTCTCGGCCATGGTTTGTGTACCCAACTCCCTCCTACAAGGCCATAATGAGATGTCACAGTTTTGTTGGTTATGGAAAAAACTCATCTCTGTGAAGGCGTGGATATAACTCTTGAGTATACATCTGATGTCAGTCATAGAGAAGACAAATGTGAGTGACCAGGTA